CTCCCTCTGCCCTCTTTACTCGTCTTCCATCTGGAATCGCAGTGACATTTATGTTCATGGCCTATTGGCCTGGGCGATTAGCAATATGGTAATCGGTCCCCGGACCGTGGTGTGATGGTGCTCAGTTGAAACTGCATTACCTCCGCCTTTATTAAGATATACATACCATATACATACATATTTTTATAATACATTCGCATTAGTTCTCATTTAATGTGTTACATTAATATTGTATTAAGGTTGCAGCGTTCTGTGTTCAGGGGAAAAGTACAAAACAATCATTCTTGACGCTTGTGGTGATGTCAAGGAATCTTTGATATGTCCGGGCAAGGAGTTCATGAACCCAAGCGTAATTCAGGACATTATTAAGGTACTCGACAGTGATGGTGAGTGATTAAAAATCGTGGAATCAACTTCACATGGGTGGTAGAAAAAACCGTAGGGCTACACCTAACCTGTACTTTCTGCGGATCATAATGAAGGATAAGTTCAAAGGTACAGTACACGATAGTTTTGGTGTACCTAGTTTGAGACAAGAAACTGAAGTAATAATCCAGACTGTGCAAGGCTTCAACAAATAAGTACAAGTAGAAGTAGTGCGAGAGTGTTAAAAAAAACCTGAGTGGAAGGAATATTCGGACGAGCTTGTGCGCGCCTTTACATAAGCTGGCTGCAATATGCTGCGTGCGTGCAAGGTGTGGGTCCCGGTGCGAATAATGCAAACTGCAGCTTTCACATTGCCTAAAAACTCGTTCGGCTTTGGTGTGTGCGTCGAATAAGACGGTCTTGGGGGCATATTACGCCATATTCTGACGGTTTTTTGACCCGACAGCGTCTCTTAAGTTACCCTTGGAAGGTTACTGATTCATCCTAAGGAGAAGTATCAAGAACCTATTTAAAGTGAAATGTGAGTTCAAAGGCACAAGGCAAGTTCACGATAATTTTTGGGTAGTCCAGATTATGACGAGAAATGGCAGGTAAGATGGAAAATAGAGCGATGGGGGCGATGAAACTGTCTGAATAGGTGTTTCCAAAGTAAAAATGTTTCGAAAAAAATCGTTTAAAATGAGGCTGGACGAGAAGAAGGAATGAAAAGTGAAGAAGAAGGGGTGTTTGGACGAGCTATACATCGTGTGCCGTTGCGTATGTGTAGGTCTTGATGCGAATAGCTAACCACATACAGTAAACGAAAATGTCTTTTGCGATTCATCCATTCATAAGCATAATTTAACAAAAACGCTAGTAACAGCAAAAATAGCCCACCATGTTCGGCCTCTGCAGGTAGAAAATTTAATAAGGAATCACAGCAGCAAAAAGAGAATAACAGAAAATAAAAGAATGGGGAAAAACATCGCCTCATCACTCAGCGATCAGCTGATCGGGTGTGGGTCCTAGAGCGGATATTGCAATCTGTATCGCCTCGACACTCGTCTGACGTAACACCGGTCGAAGGGAAGGGTATCCAGGCAATCCGGTAACGGACCTCTTCTATGTCCTAGTTGTTGAGTTTTGAAACCGACAGGGTCCTCCCTGTTACCCTTGAGTCCAGTAGGTGCTCAGAAACCATTTTTATCGTGAACTGTGCCTTCAAGTAACACATGCGTATGACTGGATTGTCAATGGCCACTGATTCCAGCGATTTCTCGCACGGTCTCTAAGGTTTACTTACGGGTAACGGAACTTCTCCCCTATCGCGGCATTCTCCCTTGCGGCATGCGGCAAATGTCACTGCAATTACCGTACTCACCCCGCCTCCCGAAAATCGATAGGACGCGGTATTTTTCCTTGAATGGCTTGCTTTTTCATTGGATTTTATCGTTTTTTCTTCTGTTTCTTTTTAGTTTTCATGTTTATTGGACTTGATTAATTAAAATGACTCCTCTTATATAAACGACGATCAATACCGCATTGAAATTGAAGGGAGCGACCAGCCAATTCAAATGACTAAAGGACTCCCTACTTCACAAATTGCGCGCTCCAATCTTTCATCGCAATCCTGCGATAGGCGGCCGGTGCGGCGTGTGCGACGCCGTGTTAGGGGAGAAGTTCCCGGACCCTTTACTTACCATCCTTTTGAAAAAAACTCAGTTTACTGCAGTTCAAGTTGTTGTTGTTTTCATGTTGTTGTTCAAGTTGGGGTTGTTTTCAGGTGCGCTTATAGTGAATATTCTTTGCTCAAGAGATAACATAGCAAATGAGAATAAGGTACTTCTCATGTACAAGGACCAATTTACAACATGCTTTCATGTTCGTTATAGTGAAGCTCAACGAGTAAGTACAATGCTTTCACTAAAAAGCCGTTACGGTATCAATTCCCTGTTTGCTTCATATTTTTAATTTCATTCATGTAATTTTCAGTTAGTCGCTTGTAGTCACAGAAAAAATTGGAGTTTTCTTGATCAGATGAAGCGCTTCGAAGAGAACATCAAAGCTGTCGAAAGTCGCTTGAACTTTGATATGGGCAGAATTATTCTTAAATTTAATCCTTGAACACTATAACAAGTCTTTTTCGCTACCTTCCTCCTCTTCCCTTTACCAACAATATATTTGCTCTCTTGAACTCTTCGATCACATTAAAAATAGTACTTTATTAAGCAAGGTAAACAGCGTTATTATATTATGTAACTGCATTCAACCTTTTGGTCAAGGTAATCCAATTGGAAGTCAAGCAAGAATTGAACGTTTCACTCAAAAAACTCGCTTTTCGAAAGTAGTAATGGAGTATAACACCATTGTCCAGGTAAAACGAGGAGGAGGAGGTTGCTGTTACCACTGTACTGCCGACTTTGCACAATGGCTGTAGGATAGTAATTACTGATTTATGAGACTTTGTTTGTTAGACGTACTCTTTGTTTTCAAGAATAGATTTATCCCGCGTCGCAATAAAACTGATTGTGTTGTTCAATAAAGTGAAAATAAATAGCATTCACCTGATTACTCGAAGAGATTTTACCGAATGTGTGGCATAATGCCCACCGCGCGGCGATTTTTGGCTAGATGTCTCGTCGTTGAATCAAAGTCAGTAGCGCGCCGCTTGTATTGGCTAGTTGCCTTGATACGCGGTATGCCATCTTAGGATAGCGCCTGCACACCGATTCGGTACACCATCAGGTTCATAATGCAACCTGTTTCACCTATTTATTCCTAAAAACAGCTTAACAGTTTCAAGGGTGCAAATAGAATCGCCAGAGAGGAAATTTCAGTTTTCTTCCGTGCACCAGATATGCTATAATTATGAGATACTGTGGTCTGTTATAATATTCAGTAAATCAAGGAAAATTGCCGACATCACGTTCAGTACAAAAGTAGTATGTATAAATGTGAGAATGGTAAAAATGAGATGAGTATACCAGTGAAAAGAAAACATAAAAAACCCAAACATAGTATATACATTTATAATGGCAAATTTTTCATTCCGAAGTGCAACAAGCTCTCGTTCAACTCATTTCATGCAGATGGAATCGGTATATGCAAATTATCCAGATAAAACTTTTGTACTTTACATTGACATAGAGTTGAAAGTTTGGTTTTAAATATAGCAAATGAACTTTGTTCATTGTTCGAACTTGTTCGTGTCTCGGCATCTACCTTGAAGAGGATCGGAGTTTCTGTGCCCACATTAACCTAGTCGTGGAAGAAGCTTTTACGATTTCCCTTGGTATCTTCCGAAACGATCAAAATATGGGATCACCATTCGTCTGGAGTTTGAAGTCATTTACAAAAAAACGGCACTTCATCAAGGCCTAATGCTAAGGTATTGAGAAGCGTTAAAAATATTCAGCATGAGTTGCTTGTTACTATCGATTACTCAGCGACCTGATCTTTTATTCCGAGAATTTCAGGAATGAAATTGAGCTCACAGTCAGTAATTACGGGATGTTTTATCTTTGTCGTGTTTGAAACAATTTGCTTGGATTACACTGTTCCCAAGTAGAAAGGAGACTGCACCTCCTTGTCTTGAACTCCTTGTTTTTCCGCAGTGGAATAGTTGGAGATAATTCCTTCTCACTTCTGCGTGAAGCTCGGATTCTTCTCATTTGATGTTTTGACGAGGTCGAAGAGGCCCAAATTAGCTAAATAAAGGTTGAAATCTTGGGAAGATTCAAGTTAGCACACACACGAGTCAAAGTTCATGCAAAGATTAAGAGAAAGCCGGTCATTATCAACCCATAGCCTACGAAAAGATGAAGAATATGGACCATCTTATCTGAATGAATGACAGCTTCAGATTTCTGTTTTACTACTTGATTGTTCGCAACACTGATATTTATCCACAGAGCTTTCGATGGAATGACATCCACTGCCATAGGTACATCCCGGAACCTCGGGCACGACTAGATCGTTCAAGAAGATCGAAATAGTTGGAATATTTGATTTTACCAGTCTCTACCTTGTATCATACGATGTACTTTTGAATAAATAGATCATCATTGTTGATTTGTTACAAGTTACATCTCAATTGTTCTCTGCAACTATCTGTACACTTCGTTTGAGTGCTCTCTCATGCCCCCACATCCTCTAACTTAGTAATTGAGAGGCTATCTTTTTCAACCTACAACCAACATTAATTTACTGCTTACTGCTGTTGATATTTTATACTTTCCTGTATACATTATTGGATGGTTAATGGTGAAGACCACTACTTTGTAATTAATTCTTTTGCATTCTCTGTGGCTTCCCATAAACTCCCCTATGCTGACGATCCCACATGGAATGACGGTATACCCGTGTTTCGAAGTTTCGACAGGCACTCATGACCAAGAATTGGGCGAATGGGCATCAGCCGACTGATGTCGATTTGGGGCACGGTCAAGTCCTGGGAAAAGGTATTAGACCCGAAAAAGTTTTCCTCAAACGTGGTCCAGCAACTTTTGAGTTGGCAAAGATTTGACAAAAAAAAATTGATCATTCAATTTCTCTGAAAAGACTGAGTAATAATTCGGAATATTATGGACCTCCTAACTTACAGGCTACCACATTCGTTTCCCGGAACTTAATATATTTCTCTGAGCCCAGTTTTATTTAATTCAGATGAAAAGTGACCAGCTCTTGCTCTTGGCAAGTTCACCAACTTTTATTGTTTCGCCGTTCTTCAAAAAAGACTGTAGATGCCAGCTCAGACTTTGACTTATATTGTGCATTGTAACGTGTCATTCAAGCACAACTAATTAATTAATTAATTAACTAGTTATTCTCACAAAAGTGGTCCGTTGTGGGCAAAACTCTATCATAGGACGAGACTGGAAACCTAGTTTGCTTTCTGGAGACCGTGCTCTTTATACCTTACACTATTAAGACCCTCCTGCTTGCCCTTGCATTCTTAGTAGACTCTTCATTAATTACTCAAATCAGAGCACATCAAATAAACCATATCTGAGTCATTTTCTGAGGTGACCTCTGTGCACGGGTTCACTCCAGTGCTCCAGTTTGGCCTTTCCTTCTTCTAGAATTTCTCTCAGTCTTCTTCATGGTGGCCCAGATTCATTGTTGACAACTTCGAGGACTGGTCATTGAGCCTTTTAGCTTCCAACACTACATCAAGATTCTGGAGGCTTCCCCCCTGGGAAGCGTACAGTGCACATGCTATTGTTCGGCACATACGACAGGACTGCCTACTTTTCCAGAAATACTATTCAAAGTAATCTTTTCACTGCATCCACTCCAGATCATCCATGCTTGAGGACTGACCGGGCCTGATGTCATACCTATCGAATCTGATATTAGTATAATTTCTTCTATCACATGCGCCTGCTCATAGATCCGCTGTATAATCCTCGTTCCTTGACAACTCGCATACATGACCAGACGGGAACCGCAAACGCTATTTTCATTTTTCCTTTAGAAGATTTGGGTCCTCATCCCGGTGCTCGAACCTTCTTAAAGTAGGGTATACCCATCGCCCACCTGACTCTACCCTACCCCAGGTATAAGTAAGAAGAAATGATTTTCGGGAGGAAAACTCGTTAGCGTATAACCGCCGCGAAGTCTACTTTTCATGGTGATGTGATTCCCCTCAATTTCTCGTCTTTGTTCTTTCTGTGATAACCCGAATTACTATCTAGAACTATTTACGGCAATAATGCGATCAACGATTTCGTCGGGGGCATGCGACGATCGCCGACTGTTTAGTCACTGCATAAATTTCGCTGATTTCTCTACTGAAGATTGGAAGAACCGCACTGCAAACTACTAAACACAAGGTTTACAGCTTACTAGTAGCTCATTTAGGAGAAAGGGTCACATATTGAATGACTTTATATGGCTTAGACACATTTTCTAAACCGTTTTTATGTGAAAGCAAGTGATTTATACAGGTTGCGCTCGAAACAGGGTGGCAACACGGTGTCTCGAAATATTGCACTATCCGATGCGACCATATATTTTCTTGTGTATTATGCTTGTAAGAGGTACTGCGGAAGCTTTTGCTTGCACTTTCGGGAGCTTCCGGTACCTAACATTCAGGGATATTCATCTGGCCCTTCATTCATTTCAAAGAAGAACAAACATTACAAGTTATGTTGAAGTTCACAGTTTGCGTAGTTCTGATGGGTTCAAGATATATTCTGAAGATTATCAACGCCCAAAGACTTTATCCTTTTAGAATTGAATTGGTGTTATGCTCGAAAAATAGGGGCCTCTCAATGGCAGCTGATTCTCATCACTGCACGCGAACATGGCGACGAAGTTGAGTGTCTGGACGAGGTTCTAGCCACTGATGTGCACGTTGGGAGATGTTTGATTGGATGCTAACCAATTGCTACGATCCTTCGAGGCTCTGAAGTAATGATACACTCCATTAAGTGCCTCTTGGAAGCCAGGGGTAACGGAACTTCTCCCCTATCGCGGCATTCTCCCTTGCGGCATGCGGCAAATGTCATTGCAGTTACCGTACTCACCCCGCCTCCCGTCAATCGATAGGACGCGATATTTTTCCCTGACTGGCTTGCTTTTTCATTGGATTTGATCGTTTTTTCTTCTGTTTCTTTTTAGTTTTCATGTTTATTGTACTTGATTAATTAAAATGACTCCTCCTATATAAACGACGATCAAGACCGCATTGGAATTGAAAAGAGCGGCCAGCCAATTCAAATAATTGAAGGACTTTCTACCTCACAAATTGCGCGCTCCAATCTTCCATCGCAATCCTGCGATAGGCGGCGAGTGCGGCGTGTGCGACGCCGTGTTAGGGGAGAAGTTCCCGGACCCGCATTCAAGTGCCATTGCTGTTTTGAATGAGAATTGAATGCGTAGGTTGCTACAGAACAGGATGGGAAGTATACAGAAGTTTTCCTTGAGTGTCTTCAGGGAGCACATTGTATGTGATGCACACCATGACATGCACATATTTAGCACACATCGCTCTGCTGCTACACAAACTTTTCACTTATATCTAGGCCGTTCAGAATGTTGCACGAGAGTTCCTAAAAGTACAGAGATTTCCAGAATGTTCTGGAAATATGCGTGAAAGTATTATGTTAAGTAACTACCCT